AGAATATGGACTTGTAGATTAGCAATGCTCATGGAGAGAAAATCTGGGGCAGCTACTACTATAGACCATGTGTGACATATTCAAAGTTTATTCCACATGGTTCTAGCCCAAGTACAGTCAATGCAAAAACAATAAAGCTTAAAAATCAAGTGGAGCTGCCATGTTTCAGCAGCTATAAGGACTCATGTTCAGTGTCAAGGAGGCAGGACAGTCCTGCTAGGCCTTTCAGTGTTCACTATTGGGTGGTACTTGTTGCCATGGAGACAGAGCCATGATGAGGACCTGGTCCTTATTTCATCAGAACTCAGCACATCAGCAAACCTTCTGTCATTGCCTTGTCTCTATCCCAGTTGACCATGGTCAAGGAAATTTAGAGCCACAGACCCTACTTGCTGAGCATGATTGCTATGGACAAGCCTAAGAGCTGCCTAAGCCAGCTTGTCCAGCCATACTGGATCCTAGACTCTGTTCCCTGAGGGAGGCCTCGTGTGCAGGAGAGGCCTGGCTGCCTCACACTCCCTTGCACACTCCCTGCAGCCATCACTGCCCCTTCAGGTCCAGCATGTCTAGCACGTGCTCCTCTCTGATCTTAGAGCCTCCAACAGTTTCCCGTTCCCCCCAGGTGGGACATGATAACATCTTCTGGGTCACTGCCCAAGAGTGCTGGGATGAATAAGGTCACAAGAAGGTTGTCACAAGCAGGACGGTGTACAACCCAGGGACAGCACAAAACTACTGTACTGTGCTATCCAAGCACCAGGTCAGAAAAGCAACTTCTCTCTGTCCTCCACAGGAAATAAGACCCAGAGCCATGTGCAAAGGAGCCAGCATCCAATGCCCTCACAGAGAGGAAGAAGAGGACCTAGGAGGAAAGGCAAATATTCCTTGATGGTAAAAAAAAATTCCAGAGAAGATAGTGGCAGCAGTGGCGGTAGACATTTGGCTGGTGAATCCCTGGTGGCCTAAGCCCAAGGCCCAGAAGACATATCTCACCTCCAAGAGCTCAGATGACCCCTTGAATCAGCAATCATGCTCCATGACAAGCACATACACAGTTGACATTCTTAGGCTTCAGTGACCACAATGTCATCACTAGTTCATACAGCTCTACTGTAGGCATCAGCATCTCACAGCTGTCCAAGAGGAACAGCCCTACCTTCTCCTGTCCTCAGACACTAGAGAGGCCAGCCCCAAAAAAAAAAAAAAAAAGAGAAGAGGACCTGTGTCTTCCTTCAAGTTTTCAACTTCAGACAAAGTGTCTGAAGACAAGGGGACAGACAAGTTGTTCCAGGAAGAGAGTCCCAGACATAGACAAGCTGAAGTAGCCAAACTTGGGCTTTGCTATTCACAATAGGAAGGCCGGGTACCCATAAACAGAAGGCTCAACTGCAGCTGCACCCCAGGAGAAGGTCCCCAGCTTGGCTATGCCATAACTACTGAAGATATGGACCAAGAAAAGAGAGCAAAGTTGCTGAGAATTAAAGAGACCTTATAGGATAAGGACAATGGCATCCATCTCCAGTTCTGTCACTGAGAAGCCACCCACCACTCAGCCTTTGTTCACATTTACTATGTGTGCTACTGGCAGTACCACCACCCTCATTTTCAACCTTTCCTGTAACTCTGGTGCCTCATCCACTCTCGGGCCCTATTTTCTCACCAGCCTCCCTCCCAGATCCAGACACTAACTGTCTGTTGGAGAGCTAGAATAACATGGAGAATCGCAGAGACACGCAGGTCTTCCCCAAAACAGCTGGAGCAGCCACCACTTCAGCCCCTGCATCTCCCAAGACACCCAGCCTTTCTCAGGTCCCTATAGGCACTTCATTGCCTGAATTGCAACAGAACAATTCTTCTGATGCTTTCCTGGGACATTATCCAGGACCCAAGTCATTGACACCAAGACACCTGCAGCCCCTCAGGCTGAGACACCAGCTGTAGCCAAGGACTTCTTCTCCAAGCAACCAGCTACTTTGTTATACCTTTTCTAGCCACTGCTCCTTCTACTATAGCTTTTGTCAACACTGCCAGTTCATCTAATGATTCAGCTTCCAAGGCTGCCACTTAGCTTTGGGGTAAATGCTGTAGCCAGTTCCATCACATCCTCTTCCTAGCCTCTCCTCTCTGGTGCTCCCCCTTTTCTTATATTCCATTTCAGCAATCCTCCAGACCTGAGATCCTCAGCAACAGCCAAAAACTGAGCTTCCAAGCCTGCATCTGACCCTGGGGTGAATGTTATGGCAAGTGCTACCACTTTTTCCTCCCAGGCACTCCTGTCTCGGGCTCCCCCCACCACCTTATTTCAATTAAGTAAGCCTAGAGACCTGAAGCCCTCAGCAGCTGCCACCTCTTCTAGCCAGCACCTCTCCAGTGTCACTTCTGTGGCCAACAGTAGCAGCAAAACCAGCTATAGTGCTTTCCCAAGTCCACTCCCCACCATATCTGCTGCCAACACCCACCAACAGTACCTGACTTCCCTAACACCACCAACCCTATCTTCAACTTTCCCTATTCCCTATCTTTAACTTTCCCTATATCTCTGATGTCCTGTCCACTCTCTAGGACTATGCAGGGGCCCACACTCAGCCATTTGGGGCCATATAGGGACATCAGTATCAGGCCAGCCTTTGCCAGAGCTCTGGCAGCTTCTTCCCTTTTGGAATGTTCCAGAAGGCACAGTCTCTACCTTCCACATCTCTGCCAGTATGCATTCCACCTTCAGAGGCACCAGCATGATGTCTTCCTTCATGTCAGGCCCCTCTTGCCTCCCAGACTTCACCCAGATGACCAGGGGGCTAGTAGTTTACTGGCAGGTCTACTTATCCTTTCCTATTTGAGAGCTCAGCAGCCCAGCTGGTAGTTGGAACTTTGGACTAGGTGTAGCCATCCCAGGCACCAGTAACACGTGTAGAGCATTCAGCTTCTAAGCCAGACGCAGTGCAGTCGCAGGCACCTTTACATCCTTTGTGGGTAGTAGACAGCAGTCTCGCCTTCTCAATGTTGTCGGATACAACCAAGGCTTCCTAGGTGTTCAACCTTTTGGATGTGGCACCTTCATTTGTCGATGGTGCAGGGTACAAAACCCCAGATGCTGGACAGATACTGGAGGCCCAAAGGAAGCACAACCACAAGAAGTGGACTCCATTACTACCCCTTCTGCTACACATCCTTTGCAGAAATCTGGACCCAGCACCTGCCAGAAAGAACCTCTGACCCTCTGACTTCCATGAAGCAAACCAAGCCCAAGCTTCAGTGGTATTCCTCCTAGAGGTAGCAGTTGCCTTGGTGAAGTGCAGGAAGTGGCAGTTACAGAAGCCCTTAACTCAAACAGTTGTTTGGTTCCTCAGGGATTCTCTTGCCCCAATTTTGCTCCTTTATCCTCTTGAGTCACCTGTGGAATTTGTTCCTTATTATACAACCATGAATCTTGCTTTGCTTAAAGACCACAGTGGACAGTGCTCTGCATCCCCTGCCCCAGTTCAGAGTCCTCAACTCCAGTAAAGTAGCTCCCAGAGCACACAGGATGCTGATCGAGCCTTCCAGAGCCTCCTTCCATACCCACCAACCATGCACTACCCCATGGGTTACGTCTCCCTCTCTAGCACCACACATTTCTGAAGTGGATATGTGGAGGAGACATGTTGCCACTGTGGCCTAAACTATCTTCAGTCTCCTGGGCCTGGCTAAATCAAGATGGAAACTGACACAATTTTGTGACCACAGTTCTGACTAAGAACTATGGCCCAGGTATTTTGACATTTAAGGATTGGCAGCTCAGGAAAGCAAAGACCTTCACTGCATGGATGCTCTCCCACAAACTTATCTTGGTTGCAGGGGAGCATCCCCAGCCTATCAGGAGACTGGTGGAACTTGGACCTTAGTTACTTGTCTGCAACTGGATCCTCTCCAGCCTTCTCCTAGCCCCAAGCCTCCCCAACTTTTAAATATTTTTCACAAAATAAAATTGTGTTTTTGTATTTAAGCTATGTTGTCTGTTTAAGTTTGGTTCACTGAAATGATTAAGTACAAATGCTGCTGACTAGAAACTAGTTGTCTCGTTCATTCTGTCTGCCTGAAGGAGAGGCTCAGTATTGCCCCTTATCGTCAGAGTGTCTGAGTGCCTTCTGGATATGGAGAAGGATAGTCTTGTAATGCTGTAACCAGTGATAGGTCAGATATCCTGTGGCAGGGCATACCATGCTGCCCTCAGGAGCTGCTTTCTGACAGGCTGAGCTTGGCCATATGGAGCTGAGGGAGGAGCCTGGGCCTCAAGCCCTAAACCCTGTCAGCATCAGAAGGTAACAGTAGATTCTATGCTAAAATGTCTCTACTTGCACCTCAAGAAACATAGGCTCTTCCAGAAAAAACAGAGTTAGAGAGACAGGCACAAGGTAGAGAACCTCTCTATGTAGTGTTGGAAAAATAAAAAAGTGTTTGTTTCTTTTAGCCTATTTTAAAAACAGGTAAAATGAAGAATGCCATTTGTTTAATCTTCTTAGGAAATAAAACAATTTTTATCTTCCTAATTTTTAAAATTTTTTCTATAGGTTTTTCACATTAAGGTGAAAATGACTGATAATAAGAGCAAAGTATTTAGCTCAATGTCAACAAGTTAAATTCTATAATTATATGTGAATGTAAATGCTAATCACAGACAAAATAACTCAGAAAAAGAATCAAATCGGAGCACTGTAACCTACCAAGTGTCAGTACCTACAGTGATTAATAATCACCTATTAGTGATTAGCTAGGTTATATAAATCAGAAGTGAAAGCCACAATGAAACCCAAAGACATAATACAAGATAAGAGAGAGTGTGGGAGTATGGATTTTCCTTAACTGATGTATGTTAGTACGGTTGTTGATACTACGTGTTAACTTAGCATCAAATACTAGTCAGTATTAGGCAAGATAAAATATTTTATCTCATCCAATAGAAAAACTACCTGGAAGTGCCACACCCATTACTCTGATTCAGGATGTAATTGTATCAAACATACCTGTATGCTGCCGAATTCAACGTTCTCATAATGAAAATGTGCACATTCAGCCATCTTTGGAAAGTGACCCTTCGTGAATGGTAACCTGAAGTACATGAAAATAAATATGAAACCACAAAGTACAATAGTCAAAATTACCATATCTAGGGAAAAACATAATATTAAGAGGTCATGCAAACCAACAATTTACTAACAAGATATAGTATATTCATAAACTGTTTTGTTAAAATATCAACTCTTTTGTGCAACTAAAGGTAATGAAATGAAAAAAAAAACCTGCTAATTACATGCACGTAAGCCATAAACATCCACATAAAACTTTTCAGAAATACCTAAATCAAATGTATTAAGTACAAAGAGCTAACCAAAAATGAAAAATAAAAACCATCACTGTACTTTCCTAATCTTGCCCAAGTCAATGCCCACAGAAAAGCTTTTGTACTTTTGGCAAATGCTATCAAAACTGGTGGTGACCCTCCAGCTTCTAAGGAGAAGCATCATTCACAAAGCAAAGTACAAACAGGATGTTACCTGTGTATGTTGTCACAGCCCATCAGTCCTGGTGTGGTGGACCTGGATACAGAATGGACATTTTTATCCTTCTCTTTCCTCTACTTACAAAAGAAGAAGAGCTAACTAGCTAACCATTCTTTACTGAGTAAAAAGATGGGTTTCCCTAAAACCAGGGGAAATTTTAGGTATTCGTTTCATTTAACAGTCAATTCTTAGCATCTACTTCAAGATTCCTCAAAACAAACCTAACACCTAACAATCCCATAACTTAACCAACAAAGCTAATTTTTCAAAATGAATGAAAGGATACATTGCAGGTACCAAAAAGGAAACACATGCTTGGATTATTCCTGGTCTACAAATTTAAACTAACAGACACTGACATTTCAAGACAAAAAATAAAATATATTTTTTAAAAAAGGTAAATAATCTGCAGGCTTGGTCCATTGATTACTGAATCATAATTTACGTCTTAACCGTATAATTTACTGTACGTGTAGTATGAGCTTATTTCATAAGCAAACAAAAAAACCCATCAGAGATAAAAAATTTCCATTTACAGAAATTCATCTAGAAAAAAAAAAACTATATGCCGGCCACCGGTGGCTCACACCTGTAATCCTAGCTACTCAGGAGGCTGAGATCTGAGGATGGCAGTTCAAAGCCAGCCTAGGCAGGAAAGTCCGTGAAACTCTTATCTCCAATAAAACCACCAGAAAACCGGAAGCAGCATTGTAGCTCCAGTGGTAGAGCACTTGCCTTGAGCTGAAGAGCTGAGGGACAGCGCTCAGGCCCAGAGTTCAAGCACCAGGACCGACAAAAAAACAAAAACCAAAAACCAAACAAAACAAAAACTATACTTACTTTTTTACATGTTTATTAACCTTCATACTCGCTGTATTGCTACATGTCTTAAGAGTAAGATCTCCAGGAATCTCTGGAACATCTGCTCCTCTTGCCTTAAAAAACAAAGAAAGGATATATGATGATCATTAATACTAATATTTCTTTAAAAATCAGATTAATGTGAATGTTCCTGGTTCTGCTGACTTTATGCCAATAGCAAAACATTTCAGTTTAATAATTGCTCCTTAATTGTAACATTCAAGTTTGAATTAAGAATAAGTAAAAATACTGACCTAATTTAAATATCTGGCTTTACCATATAAAAAAGTTTCTGTAAAATTAAGAATTTTCTTGTTTCACAATCAAATTTTAAAAGTAGCTGTTATGAGTCTCAGAATAAGATTAAATCTCCCCTGAGAGTTGTTACAGCAAAATGATCTTGGTTACGATAATAAAGGATAAAATGTTAATATAAACAATAAGCAGGTCACAACATACATTTTTCATTCTATTACTTGGAAGTGACAAGTATATTTTCAATATATTCCTTATTCTACCTTAGCTTTCACAGGGGAATTTTTAATTTTAGTGATACATTCAGCTGCATCATTTTTTTTTGGGGGGGGGGAGAGGGAGTCCGGTCGTGGGGCCTGAACTCTTGGCCTCTGAGGAATCGAACCCAGGGCCTCATGCGTGCAAGGCAAGGCAAGCGCTCTACCACTGAGCCACCTTCCCAGCCCAAGCTGCATCATTTTTAAAACACTGAAAAACAAACAAGCTCTAAACCATCTAGACAACCAAGTCCAAATATCTATCATGAATAAATTTACACTATAATTACCATGATTTAGAACAGAAAAGCTTCCACTGAACTGATGTAGACTATGCTACATGATTTATTAGGGAAGATCAACAGTAATGTGAGTTGAGAAAATTCACTGTAACTGAATTTTTTTTTATTTAATTTTATTTTATTTGTGAACATACTGTACAGAGGGGTTACAATTACATGGGCAGGATAATGCGTACATTTCTTACCAAGCATTGCAGCCTCCTCCTTTGTTTACCCTTCACCTCCCTTCCCAGCCTCCCCCCTCCCTCCCAAGGATTTTCTTGCTTGGTACAGGTGGCTCACACATATAATTCTAGCTACTAAGGAGTCTGAGATCTACGAATCAGAGCTTGGAGGTAAGCAAGACAAACAAATCTGAGAGATTCTTGTCACCAATTAACCAGCATAAAGTCAGAGCTAGAGGCATGACTCAAGTGGTAGAATATGCAAGCTGTGAATGGAATGAGAGTAAGAGGTCCTGAGTTCAAGCCTTAGTAAGCACACAAAATGACACAAGACGAAAAGAAGAAAAAAATTCCTATAGGAAAAAGAAAGGACCAAAGTAGTTGTGTTTTGTTTTGATTTTCCAGTAATACAAGCTAACAATCTATGAGCTGTACACATTAGCTCTTGGTACACAAACACTAAAAGAACAAATTCTTATTTTTAAGATCCTATTTTTCCTTAGCAAATTAAGATTTTTTTTGGGGGGGGGGGTCTGGTCGTGGGGTCTGAACTCTGGGCCTGGGCGCTAGCCCTTAGCTCTTCAGCTCAAGGCTAGCGCTCTACCACTTGAGCCACAGCGCCACTTCCGGCTTTTTTCTTTTTGCTTATGTGGTGCTGAGGAATTGAACTCAGAGCCTCATGCATGAAAGGCAAGTGCTTTACCACTGAGCCACCTTCCCAGCCCAGCAAATTAAGGTTTTTTAAAAGGGAAAAGACTAGTGTTTGAACATAGGGCCACTTGAGCCATATCCCCTACTTCCTTGTGCTTTACACTTACTCTTCACATACAATCTGCAATTTTCATGTAAGGTGAGGCTCCACAGTGAGCTTCCTAGCCTGTGTCTCTGTGTAGCTAGGATTACAGCTCTCAGCCACTCTGTGCCCAGCCCTGTTTTTAATAGCTGATACTCCTTAATGTCCTTTATTCCCTTTAGAAGACTATCATGGAATAATAATATATATACATATAGATGTATATATACATATAAAATATATACATATATATTCTTTAATGGTGAAATAAAACTTTCTTACCTCGCAATTGTCATAGATTTTTAAAAATAAATCTTATGTATTATTGACTCTTACATTCTTCTTTTGTCTAGCAAGTTATTTCATAAATCTAGGAATTATTTTTATCAGTATTTTACTATTATTCATCAATAATTCAAAATTACTAAAATAAAAATCATTTTAAGAAATGAGGACTAGGGGGTGTAGCTCAAGTGGAGTAGCAGACCAGCAGTAGGCCATGAGTTACCCAGAACACCCTCCTAAAAAAACAACAAAAGAATAAATCAAAGGCAACTGGTAAAAGGGAGAGAGAGAGAAGAAGGGGGGAAAAATAAAAAGGAAGGAGGGGAAGGGGGAGGTGGACAAGGAGAGGGGAGGTAGAAAAGGAGAGGAGAGGGAGAAAGGAGAGGGAGGAAGGTAGAAAGGAAGGAAAAAGTGCTAACAAAGGCACAAGGAAAGAAAGGAAAAATAATACTTAGAATACAAGTTAACAAACTTTTTCTTAACAGGGCAACTGGCAAATATTTTAGCTGGTGGGACACACTGTCTCTGCCACTACTCAATTCTGACATTGCAGTATAAAAGTAGTCACACAATGACCAAACATGGCCACGTTCCAATTAATGTTTATTTTCACTAAGAAGTAGCCAGGAAGCTGAAATTCGCCAAGTCTTGACCTACAAGTTGATACCACAATAAAAAAAATTCATAATTCATCATCCAGTGCTTGTATTATGGTGCCCAAATGGTTACATTCTCTTTCGTGGACATATTTTTGGGAGTACAGAGGCATATTTTTACAGTCTGCATTTTTATTTCATTGAATATATTCACTAATCCCATAGCTTTCACTTTCCATCCAAAATCAAAAAGACAAGAAATTTGACAAGTATTTCACAATGATTACAAACATCAAAAGATGAAGCTGGGTGCTGGTGGCTCATGCCCATAATCCTAGCTACTCAGGAACTAAGATCTGAGGATCTCAGTTCAGAGCCAGAAAAAAGTACACAACACCAATTACCAGTAAAAGAAAATAAAAACTGAACTAGAGGTATGGCTCTAGTTGTAGAGCACCCTCAGAGTATGAAAATGCTAAGTGAGATTGTAAAGAACTGAGTTCAAGCTCTGATTTAAAAAAAAAAAAGAAGAAAGAAAAAGAGGGAGACAACAGCACTCTAGAAAATAATGAGGGTAAATGTGAAGATACATAAAAAATTTTGGACTAATGAAAATATCCTAAAGAAGCACAAAATAATGGTATTTTCCTCAAATCACTCAGCTAAAAGACTTCATCAGGTAACACTTATAATAACAACCTGGATCATCTTTGTTTTGCTGGGGGAAAAAATATTCAAACATTTTTCTTTTTTGCCTGGGCACTGTCCCTGAAACTCTTTGTGCTCAAGGCTAGCTCTCTACCACTTGAACCACAGTGCCACTTCTGGTTTGGTTTTTGAGTTGTTAATTGGAGATAAGAGTCTCACAGGGACTTTTCTGCCTGTGCTGGCTTTGAACCACAATCCTCAGATCTCAGCCTCCTGAGAAGCTAGATTATAAGAATGAGCCACCAGTGCCCATCTGACTTTTCATTTTTTAATATGTATTTTTAATTTTCAATATGATATATGTTTGTATACCAAAATTTATCTGGCTGGCTAGGCTTAACCTGTTGCAATTTTAATAGTGTTTCAGTATTCTGTAAATTACAAGATTTGAGTTAAAATTATAAAAGAATATGGCTGGGAATGTGGCTTTGTGGTGAATGTTTGCCTAGCATGCATGAAGCCCTGGTTCAATTCCTCAGTACCAAATAGAAAAAGCTGGAAGTGCGCTGTGGCTCAAGTGGTAGAGTGCTAGCCTTGAGAAAAAGAAGCTCAGGGACAGTGCCCAGGCCCTGAGTTCAAGCCCCAGGACTGGCAAAAAAAAGGACTTAAAAAAGTGGCTCAGTGGTAGAGTGCTTGTGTTGCATGTATGAGGCCTTGGATTCGATTCCTCAACACCACATAAGCAGAAAAAGCCGGAAGTGGCACTGTGGCTCAAGTGATAGGGAAAGCACTAGCCTTGAGCTGAAGAGCTGAGGGACAGTGCCCAGGCGCAGCGTTCAGACCCCACGACCAAAAAAAAAAAAAAGGCTCCACCGGATGGATTGAGTTGGTGGGTGATGATAATGTCACTTGATAGACTGAAGGTTAAAATAGTTTCTTATGAAAACAAGCCATCTGTGTTGGAGAGGCCATCGTTTCTAATAAACAGGTAAACCAGAATAAGAAGCTACCCAGACTATCATCCCCCAGTGAGAAGCACATTATGGAACAGATACCTCTGCAACCACAACTGACTGCAATCTTAGGTGAAACATGTTACTTGTGCAGAGGTAGATGCACAGGCCATACAGAGGCCATGACAGGAAAACCTCTGCCAAAAAAGGTAAGTGGTAATAATGAACCAGGAAGCTTCAGAGGACTGGAGAAGGCACATTTACTCTACTAGTTCAACCCATCTGTGATTCAGTATTTTTCCTTACTCTGGCAACAATCCAAGCACATCCTCGCTGCTCAGCATGCTTTGTGAACTAATAAATACAAACACCCTTACAGAGTCATATTCTTTTAAGATTAAGTGAATAGAATTAAAAGGAAATATAGTACCCTATTACTTAATCACCTAATAAACTAATAATCTCATCTATATTTTTTAAAAATATAAAACTGTCTAAGTCTCTACTGAAAATAAGTAGTTTAGTAACTTTATGCTGTTGTTCCTCATCAAAGATTAAGCAGGTATACTTTTCAAAAATAGTTCATTAAGTGAAATTCATTCATTGAAAATACATAATTTTGCCTATTTACTCATTTTAGAATCTCTACTTAATTATATTTCCAAAACAGAATTTATAAAATCAGCTACATATAAATGGCATCATTCATCAATAGAAAAAAGATAACAGAAGTTCATCAAAACTGGGTATGGTAGCACATGCCTATAGTCCCAATACTCAGGCAGAGACAGGACTTTTAGTTTAAGGCCATTCTAGGCTAC